GAGGAAGGTATTGATGGAGTGCTGACATCATGTGTTGGCCACAGAGTCACACAAGTATAAGGCAGAGATTTCACAGCTGTGGGAATTGGGAGACTCAGTAGCAAGGACAGAGCTGAGATTTAACCCAGGTCAACGCCTAGCCTGTCACGCTACTCAGCAGGCCAGGTGATGTCTTAGCTCTAATTCTCTTGCTTCTAGAAGCTAGTGTGTCCTTTCCTCTCATCTGGATTGCTACCAGTAACCCCTCAGCTGCCTGTATCTTTCCACCCCAGGTAGCTTCATTCTGAGTTGAGTTCATCCCATTTGGAAGGGAATTATAACAGTACCTCTGGCTGCCAGCTCCCAGCCCTATTGGTTGGCTGGAGTTCTCAATTACATTACAAATGCTACGATTCACTAGTTATCACCTTTAGGTCTCTTCGGGTCTTATTGATTTCACATTTTTCTTCCTCATGCTGAACATGTGTGTTTTCACATCTATTTTCTTCTAGCACATTAGCTTGCAAGCCACAGTGTTATTTCCTGTCCAGGCCGCTGATCCCCTTCTATGCACAGACTCACTTTTCCAGGCATTCAAGCTTCCCAGTGAGCTCTCAGTGCATGTCATCGGTTAGTGCTGGGTCATCAGTGGCAGATCTACATCTGGATCAGAATGAGCTCTGATAGCACTCCTGGTGCCCTCCATTTCCCCTTGTCTTTTTCTCCTTCTTCTTCGGCTCCCAGCAATGCCAACTGAAATAGTTTCAGAGCAAGATTTTAGGAGAGTCTATCAATTAGCTAAGATGACTACATCTGGCATCTTTATTCTCTTCTCTGTTAGCATTAAAAATCTATCAAAACTAATCACTTTTATATTGTGAATGATCTTTTATCTGTTAGCATTTATTAAAACCAACACTGTATTTAGCTATTCGGCATACCAGAGGGTTTTTTTTTTTTTTTATGATAGTGGAGCTCAGCTGTGAAGTTGGCACTGTGGTTTTCCCTTCTAGGACCCTGGTGCCCTTCAATTTCACATGCATTAAAAGTATTCCAGCAGGCTGAGCATTCCCTACTCATTAACCCTCAATAGTGTTGGCAAAGCAGGTGCTTTAAAAGCTTGGTCAACCAGTGTGAGCTTTCTGGGAGCATGTGGACATTTCTTCTGGGTGGTAGTAGCGACATCTTTTATGTAAGGGAGAGAACTTCAGTGCTGTTTCCTCAGCACCATTACTATAACAAAATGTCCAAGGCCAGACAGTTCACAAAGAATAGAGGCTGGCCATTCAAGAGCATGGCACAATACTAGCACTTGGTCATCTTCTGGCAAGGGCTTTCATGCTGTGTCCCAACGTGGTGGAGGGCATCACTTGGTGAGATACAGCAAGTCACAGAGAGCTCACTTTATAACAGATGTCGCTGCAAGAGCCCATTGACCCATGAATGGGTTCATCCATTCCCACATGATCCAGTCTGCCTCACAAAGGTCTCACTTCTCAAACACTATTAGCGTGTGACTTTAGGGATGAAGCTCCCAGCACATGAAATTGAGAGGCCACATTCAAACCACAGCAGTGCATGTCAGCTAAGCCTGGATGCTCAGTCTAGTTCCGTTCCCAAACTCTTTAAGTGGAAGGCCAGCAACCCCAGGAACTCTATCTGAGAAGATTCCTCCTTGAGAGTTTTAATCTTTAAAAATCACACAGCACCAGGGAGAGACTCTGGTGATGTCCCTCCCTTTCTCCATTGCCTTTTGTTCCCCCTTTTCAGTTGGCAGCTCACTGTGTTTTTCAGGATCCCTGGAAACAGTATGCCGCACAGTCACTTGTGGTGATACATTGTATCCCCCAAAATATTGTGCACCCTAATAAAGCTTATCTGAGGATCAGAGGAAAAAGATAGCCACTACATTAAACATAGAAGTCAAGCAGTGTTAGCACATGCCTTTAATCCTAGCATTTGGGAGGCAGAGATCCATCCGGATCTCTGTGAGTTCAAGGCCACACTAGGAACAGAGCCAGGCATTTTAAACACATGCCTTTAATCCCAGCACTAACCATAGAGATCTAGAGGTCTGTACAGACAGAGTGGAAGTGATGTAGCTGGGTGGAGAGAGGAAATGAGATTGCAGAACAGAAAGGCATATAGGTGTGAGTATGCAGGAAGAGGTGTCTGTAAGGTGAGGTTGGCTGTAGCTTTTCGTATTCTTCTGACCTTTCAGATTTTTACCCCAATGTCTGGCTCTGGGCTTTTTATTAATAAAATCATTTAGCAATTTGTCTTACAGTCATTGGTGATTTAAAGCATCTACATTAGAAATGAAATACCAGAAAGGGCCGGACCTGTGCTCAGGAAGGATTCCAGTCCATAGGTAGGGTTTCAGGCAGCTGTAAGAGCCATGCATGTACCCAGGGCTCCTCCTGGATCCCCAGCACTAACACACTGTTGGGTCACAGCTATGAGTACACTATTCCTGGCTCCTGAAGACAGAGTCCCTTGGTCACCTTTCGAACACCTAATGGGGGAGGTCTGGTGAGCCTCGGAGCCACATGTGCCCTGTCCTACAACTTCATTCCCTACTCTGCCATGAAGGAGCCCACTTTGTTCTTTTTCGCCTGTTGGTCTCTATGTCTGCATGAGAACATGCCCCTAAGGCCAAGAAGAGACCTCCCCCTCCCCATTGACTGAACCCCCTAGGCTCAGTAGAACCCCTCCACGATGTTCCAAGCACAGACAGACCTCTTGTCAGGACCCAGGTCATCAAACAGGTTAGGTCAGCCAATGGAAGACATCTGGGGCTATCACTGACCTGGCCCAAGACCCCAGCTGAGAAGGGCAGGGCTCTGAGTGCCAGTTAAAGGAGACTGGGGTCTTGAATCTATGGGCATTTGTTCAGCTTTGTTGCTTATATTTTGGTGGAACATTTTGTAAAGCAATGTATTCAGTGTCTCACGATGGTTTAGAACCACGTTAGGAATTGTTAAATATCACCAGCAGGACTCTTTGGTCTTTGTGACATCATGTCTACCACTTGTCCTCTTACGAGCCCAGGAAGCAGGCACAGCGGCCATGTGTAGGCTCGTTTTTCAGAGGTGATGGAAAAACAAGAAGTTCTCAATAGGACTCAGTCATGGCACTTTTGAGATCAAGGCTCTTGGGGCTTGGGACCTCTGCTTTGGGTTCTAGGTTCAAGATGATGACATGGCTAACTGTCGGGGTTTCGTGTCTGTTGCTGTGATAAAATGTCCCCAATATAAACAGCTCAGGAGAGAAAGGGTTCATCTGATTTACCATTACAGGTTACAGCCCATCACTGTAAGGAAGTCAAGACAGGAAGGCCAGACACCTAGTCACACCCACAGTGAAGAGCAGAGGGAGGCTAATTGCACATGCTCTTCTAGTATTCAGCTTGCTCTCTCCATTCTTATACAGTCCAGGACCCAAACCCAGGAGGTGGCATTACCCGCAGTAGGCTGGGTCTTTCCACATCAATGAACCCAATGAAGAAAATCCCTCAAAAATAAAAAGAAAAGAAAAGAAAAGAAAAGGAAATACCTCACAGGTATTCCATAGGACATCCCAATCCAGATAATTCCTCATTGAGATTTCCCCCCACCAGGTAATTCTAGATTAATGATTAAACCCACCCAGCATGGATGCTCAGCCTTTAAAGGATGAAGGAGGCAGCCTTTAAAGGGGTGTTTTTTAGATTTCGGAATATTTGAATATTTAGATGGAGCAGAAGGGGAGGAAGGCTCAGGGAATGGGACCCATGCATAGGCATTAAATCCATATCTATATATCATATACAACTCATAATAGTTTTATGCACTGTTTCAGCGTACCTGTGTCTTTGCATGAAGGCAGGTGTGGAATTTTTTGCTTGCAGTATCCCATGGATGCTCAGAAAGCTTCAGATACGGAGCACTCTGGAACGGAGAATCTTCGGGTTGGGAATGTTCAAACTGAAATAGTGTTTCATTTGCCAGTGTTGTGAGGATTAAGAGAATGATGTAGGTAAAACACACCCACATAAACAGCTGTGCAGCCTGCAGCTCCAGCTCTGAGGGATCCGACACCCTCTTCAAGGAGGTGCAGTTACCCCAAGTTAAAATTTTAGCAACTGAAAGTCACACAACTTGGCCAAATTCTTATAACTGATAAGTGGCAAGGAGACAGAGGTTAAAAAAAAGAAAAAAAGGTTGATTCTAAAATCCATGCCTTTAGTTTCTACCATATGGTTGAATCTTATTATCTGTGGGCTTTCATTTCTTGAGACGGGGTCTTTCTCTGTATAGCCCTGGTTGGCCTGGAACTTGCTATGTAGACCAAACTGGCCTTGAAGTTCTGGTTACGTTCCTATCTGGACTGCCTCCGTGTGGCTGGGGTTACAGGCCTGCACAAAGCATAGCTCATTATTCATAGACTTTATAGTTATGAATTTATAGACCTTTGACTAGTCCAGCCTCAGTGCTCATAAAATCCTTGTGGTCATTCTTGGACCTGTAGAGAGTTTGTGTGGGAGTGTGTGGCCAAGAACTGGGCTCCAGGCACCTCTTGTTTGAACTCTCAGCCTGGAAAACAGTGTCCCGTTTGCAGTTTCTAGACCACTACGAGCCTTTTGCTGGCGGTTTCCCTGCTTAAAGTGGCATCGACACACCTTGTTCCTAATTGCAGTGTGTCTGTGCTGTGCCTCCTGGAGCAAGCTTGCTGGATAAGCTCTGCCCAGACACGGCGCACCCACTGTCAATCTCCAGATCCGGGAGGGGGTCTTTAAACAGAAACACAATGATCAATTGACAGGAATTTTTATGACCAGAGCCTTATAGGAACCGAGCCCAGCATTTCCCCTAGGAACCGTGGTTGGGTGTTCGCTCATTCATTCAAGAAGAAAGCTACCTAGCATAACAAAGGCCGGCTAGATTTCCTTGTGAGGATGCCGGGAGGTCAGGTGAGGGTCTCCCGGACTCTTAGTCCTTGTGCAGGTGCTCCATTAACAGTTTCCCTGCTCTCTCCCACAGCGGGGCACCACTGAGCCTTTCCTGAGGCTCCACAACCTGTACAGCACCCCTCGCTGCTCCAGGCAGGCTGCCTTGCCCCGGATGAGCCGCAGGGTAGTCAGCCAGCATTCCTACCCACTCAACCGCTTCTCTTCTGTGCCCTTTGACCCCATGGAGCGCCCCACCTCCCAGGCTGACCTGGAACTGGACTACAACCCTCCCCGGGTGCAGCTCAGCGACGAGATGTTCGTCTTCCAGGACGGGCGGTGGGTGAATGAGAACTGCCGCGTACAGTCGCCTTACTTCTCCCCCTCCTCCTCCTTCCACCATAAGCTGCACCACAAGAGGCTGGCCAGGGAGCACCTGCTGCAGGAGGAGAACAAGACTCTCCGGGATGAGAACCGGGCCCTGCGGGATGAGAACAGGGCCCTCCGCAAGGAGAACAAGATGCTGCAGGTCTTTTGGGAAGACCACAAGGTCACCCTGGGCCACGAGGAGAGTCAGTCCCCCTCGCCATTGCTGCACAAGGACACAGCCTCCCAGGAAGTCGTGAAGAAAGACAACGCCACCTTGCCTGTCCAGCGGAGCAAGGAGAACACTTTACACCTCATTCGAGAGGAGAACCGGGCCCTCCAGCAGTTGCTGGAGCAGAGGCAGGCCTACTGGGCCCAGGCAGAAGACAGTGGCACTTCCGCCGAGGAGGGTAAGCCCACCTCCTCACCCAAGGAGGAGCCCCATAACCCTGGGCTTCTCCCAGATCAGAGCCCAGGCCTCTCCTCCCCGTTTGAGGAGCCCAAAGGGCCCCCCACAACACAGGAGGACTCCAAGACACTGCGTGCCCTGAGGGAGATGGTTAACAACTTGTCTGGGCCGTCTGGGGAAGACGAGGGTCAAGTCGGCCCCAACCTAGCTGACAGCGCTCAGCTTATGCAGCTGCTGAGGGAGATGAACCAGGCGCTGCAGGCCCTGCGGGAGGAGAACCGGTTGCTGCAGGAGGAGAACCGGGCGCTGCACGTCCTCCGTGACGTGCATCGCATCTTCCAGGAGGAGAACAAGGCCCTGTGGGAAAACAACAAGCTAAAGCTGCAGCAGTGCATGGTCATCGACACCATGACCGAGGTCACAGCCCGGATGGAGATGCTTGTGGAAGAGCTGTGTGCCTCCGCCTCAGCCAGGAACAACAAAGATGCCAAGAAGCCCAGCAGGGTCTGAGGCCTTGGCAGCAGACATAGACACCAAGATCAAGCACGGTCCACCAGGCCAGAGAGAACCCTCTGCCTTCCTTTGTCTTCCTCACCTTCGCTGCCCCCCCCAGTGCATGCCTGTAGACCAGCAGAGAAAGGACCATCCTACACCCAGAGACACAATAAAGGCAGAGGAGGCTGGGGCCAGCCAACACCAGCGTGGCATTTTGGCTTCTTCTCATCCTGCATCCTCCTAACTCTTTTAACTTCCTACTTCCTCGTTGGCTTCCTGGCCTCCTCTTTTCTCCTCCTTCCTCATCAGCCTTCTTATTATTCAATCCCCTTTCCTCCCCTTTCAGCCCCTATACTTTTTCTCCCCTTCTACAGATTTAGCTGGGTGGAGTGGTGCATTTCTGTATTCTTAGGACTCAGAAGGCTGAGGCAGGAGGACTGTGAATTTAAGGTCTATCTAGGCTACCATAGTAGAAAAGGAAGGGACTGAGGTGGGGCCCATGATATGGGATGATGGACAACGACTTTAGTCTTTAGAACAAAACTGAGCTGAGAGTCAGAGTTCCTCTAGACCTCTACCCATACTCATCAACATCCTCTACCAAAATTTATAAAAATTGATGCATCTACATCGACTCATCACCAGTATGCAAAGTCCATAGTTTGTTAGGATTCTCTGGCTATGTTCTTTAGACAATGAGCCAAGAACCGTAACCCACCCCTCTCCTGGAGGTCTTGGCATGTTGTGAGCCTCAGCATCCTTAGAATCCTGTGTGGTGGGCACTACCGTCTCTAACAGACATGGAAACAGGAATTCTAAGACATGCACCAATTGACAGGTAGGAAAGGCAAGTGGGTACTTCTTCTGCAGACCAGTTTAGGCTCCTTCCATGAGACTCATTGCCAGTTTCCTAGTCTCTAAAAGTTAAAAGTGGTTTTGGTATCTGTTTTCCAGACTTAAGAACTTGACGAGTCTTACCCCCAAAGCAGGCTCGGAAATCCCAGAGGAGGGGGACAATATGAGAGGTTTTCCTCGCACTAGTCGGTGACGTGTTTACTCTGCACGCAGGGTGGACAGTGATGGATGTACAGGAGACGGCTAGTCATTTGCTCTGCTCATGGCGCCAGAGTCTGAAAAATGGGAACTGGTTGTTGATGGGCCTCTGGGTCTTAGTACTTTTTCCTCCTCTGTTTGTTAAATTAATTTATCATTCAGGGTATCATAAAATATCACACCTGTTTGTCAGTGTAATAACCCCAGGGTGTGTGTGGGGGTTGGGGGCGGGAGGCGGTTACTTTTGTCTTATGATGAAACCAAATTGATTCTGTTATCCTAGACAACAGGAAGACAGAAGACACACTCTCCTAAAGTCTGTGTTCCCACTATTTAACTTGGATTAATCTCTATAACAGCAGTTGAATGTTGTCTTACGAGCTGAGAGCGCTCAGAGACCTTAATACTGTTTAGCCACGTCAACTTTCTCTGTCAGGCAGAATCTAAATGGATGGAAAATAAGCCAGACAAGCCATAAGATGCCATTTTTATGGCATGGGGGAGATTTATTTCAGAACATTGCTTCCTTGTACAGCACAGTGCAATCTGTCAGATTGCCAGCACTCTAGTGGAATCTAACTTCTGGTGGGACAGTGAGAGAGTTCACTGTTTCCTTTTTTAAAAATTTTACTTATTTATTTTATGTGCATTTGTGTTTTGTCTGCACGTATGTCTGTGTGAGCGTGTCAGATCTTGGAGTTAGACAGTTGTGTGCTACCGGGTGCTGGGAATTGAACCCTGGTCCTCTGGAAGAGCAGTTAGTGCTCTTAACTGTTAAGCCCTCTAGCCCCTCACTGTTCATATAGGAAGGTTTCCTCTAGGCATCTGAGTTCTAGGCCTGCCTCTAAGTCCAACACTAGGCCCTTATTGTACAGCTGAAGCCTTCCCTTTGCAAGTAGATCTTGGGCCTGAGCCTCAAAGCTTTGCATTTGGAGAGTTAAACATTCCCCCTTTCCTGTCTTTTATCACTTGGCCATTGGCTTGGCTGGCTTTCTTGGTTGCTACAATCAACTACTATTCTTTGCTGAGTTGGCTAGGTCTTGTCCATATGATATCTAGCTGTAAGTTGAAGGTCAGGGTCAATAGAAAACATTCACAGTCTAGCTAAGTAACAGAAACAACAGCCTTAGAATTCACCAGGGTGGGTGGGAGGTGGGAGAGTGGTGGTGGGGTAGAGTGGGGTGAGGGGTGGTGGTGGTATTCTTACAGGTAAACCGTCTGTGTAAAGTGCATCATTTTATTACTTTTTATTATTATAATGAAACAAAGCTATGCATTTATTTAAAACAAGTTTGTCTATAGTACAGTTGTAGAAATCCCTAGGGCATAGAGCTAGCCTCAGGCCAGCTCAAGTGAGGACTCATGGTGGATGGCAGTTCAAGGGTAGAAGTACCTAGGGAGAGATCCAACGACTTTGCAGGAAGCCAAAGAAGCTGGGGCACAGCCTGCTTGTTCTTTTATAACAATCCTCTGGAGGTCTAACCATAGGGTTCCACAAGAACTGAATCTTCCCAGGGGTCCTGTATTAGTTACTTTTCTCTTGCTGTGATAGAACACCATGACCAAGGCAACTTATAGAAGAATGTGTTTTGGCTTCTTGTTCCAGAGGAATATGGTCCATAATGGCAGGGGCAGCAGGCAGTAGGCAGCAGGTATGGCCACAGGCATGGCAGCAGGCATGGCCGCAGGCATGGGAAGCTGAGAGCTCACATCTCCATTAGCAAACAAAGCCAATCAAGTGGCTCAAGGATTTAAACTCTCCGATCTCTTCCCCCTGATGGACCACCTCCAGCAAGGTGCACTCCCCAAATCTCCCCAGACAGCACCACCAACTGGGAACCAAGTGTTCAAATGCTGAGCCAATGGGGGATGTTTTCATTCACACCACCACAGGCCCCAGTGACCTGAGACTCTTTCATTGTGATCTGTAACCAGACAGGAATTCACATCTCGGTGGTGAGGTCAAAACCCAAACAATAATGGCCAGGAAATAAAAGAATAGAGAAAGATTTATGACCTTCAGCCAATAAGGAGAATATGGGGGTTATTTCCAAAGCAATCCAAAAAGACCCCTTAAAGGAAGCATGAGGATAGTTTCCTGTATCTATAGATAGATAGAGTCTGTACATATGGGAAAGCACTTTAGGGACAAGTGCATACCTGAGCATGCTCAGTTAAAGAGTATATTTCTGGGCATGCTCAATTTAAGGTCATAGTTCAAGCAAGAAATATGGAGGCTATATCTTGGCATGCATAGCTCAAGGTTATGGAAGACATGTTCAAAAAGTTAAAATGTTGGACAGGAGCACTTGGGCACATTCGGAATTTGTGACTTAAAAACATCAGACAGGAATGCCTGTGGGCATGCTGTTTTCTCCAAAAATCTTTTATTTTTTTATATCCAAAAACAAAAGGAAATGATCCTTTGAATGTGCTTTAGTACAGGAATTGGTCCTTACATGTTCATGCCAAGCTTAGAGTTTAACATTCCTACCTTTTAAAAGTCCCACAGTCCCTTCATGTTGCCACTGTGGACACCAAACTTCCCCTTGGATGAAACATTAAAGCTCCATTTAAACGCTAACAGTCACCCTGAGCTTTGCAAAGTCCACAATGACAGTCAATATCAGAAAGACTCTGAGGGAAGCCCTTAGTGATCGAATTCTGCTCTTGAGTGCTTCTCTTTGCTCTGGAATTTCCATAAATGAAAGTGACCAGTGTTCATGGAGTCAATGCTTGCCCAGTGTTACACTGGGAAGCATGGAAATCAGGGAGAAGAGGATGATGGGCTGAAGTGCCTGCCAGAGGAAGTTGGGTGATCTCTAAGCACTTCTCAGTGAACAGTTTATTATCTTCCAGTTGAATTTCCCACAGAAAAGGGTTCACTGTGAAGCCAAGCCACTTTCATGCATTGCTGAGAGTTGCTGGAAATGGGATTTCTTCCCATTCATAATTTGGAGCCTCTCCATTGGATGGTATGTGTTTCAGCAAACTGAAAGTTTGTGCTTGGATCTCTCAACTCTTCATTCACATGCAGGTCTTCTCCAACCTGGGCCCTTATCAGTTCCTTCCCATTTGTTCACTCCAACAAAGGCCTTTGTAACCAAGAACAAAGTTAGGGGCTGGTGACATTATTCTTTGTGCTGTCAAGACAAGTGGCGGTTTCATTTATGGCACTTTCTTTGTAAGTCTGTCCTTATTCTTTGCAGACAGCTCGGCCCATTTGGAAATTCTTCCCTTGGAAACATCAAGTCCAAATTATTTGTTAAGAACTGGGTCCTTTGCTACTCAGGGAATGTCTCATAAGCTACAGGAGAATTTCTTGGTGATCAGTTACTTTCTGTGGGTTGGTTTGGATGGTTCTCATCTTTACTATTTCCTCCTCATCCACACAGTCACATGATCATCATCTCCCCAGTCTCCCTAGACAGTCCTAGAAACCTTGCATTTCTCTCTATTTGCTTTGGTCAAATCCAGTTCTGACCTTTGTGACAGTCAGCTGGGTGACAGCTGCAGCTATGAGTTGATCTTCCCTTAGAATTAGTTCTAGCCATTCTCCATGTTGTAACTAGACCGACTTTCTTAAATATGAAAATATAGTCATGGTATTTCCTTCCTTAGAATCCACCATTCTCTGTCCACGTCTTTTGGTTGAAACTTGACTATGGGTCTCTGGCTTAAGTAGATGCTACTTCGTTTTCTCCTGCCCTTCTGAATTCACTTACATCATTGCTCCCAGGGTCCCACTGGAATTCTTTAAACAGTTCCAGGTGCCACCCCTGACCCATGGAAGTAACAACTAGAGAGCACAAAGACTCTTTTTCCTTCTAAGGGCAGCTGGAGGTCTGAGGAAGTTGCACCTGAAGGAGTGAGAAAGGATAGCCCTAGGACTAAGTTGTCACCTCAGCGTGACAGTGTTTGGAAACCAGACATTTGAGAGATAATTGGCCTTAGATGAGGTCACAAGAATGCTTTGATGGTGAACCTTCAATGTTAACTTGACTGAATTTAGAATCACCCAATCCACTGGTTGCATTAAAAAAGTGAGTGCATCTCTAAATACAAAGATGCTTAGCTATCGTGCTTAATCTTGAATATCAGCCTCAGAAGGCCTGTAAGTTAGGAAAGCTGACCTCTGGATATGTCTTCAAGGGTATTTCCAGAAAGAATTAGCTGAGGGGAGAGCTCTACCCTGAATATTGGTGGTACTGGATATTTCAAAAAGAGGTGGGTTGGGGTGGGAAGAAGGCTTCCTGAGCATCCACATTCTCTTTCCTCAGTTTACTGGCCTGCTGTGATGGGAACTTGTCTGCTCTGCCACGCCTTCCACGACACGGTGAATTTGCACCTTCTAAAAACAAAAGCCAAAGTAAATATTCCCCCCCTCAAGTTGCTCTCTCAGGTATTTTGGTCATAGTAATGAAAAAAATAATAACAGGTTTTGCTGGCTAGTCTTATGTTAACCTGACACAAGCTAGAGTCATCAGAAATGAGAATCCTCAAATGAGAAAACATCTTCATAAGATCTGACTGTAAGGCATTTTCTTAATTAGTGATTGATGGGAGAGGGCCCAGCCCATGGTGGGTGGTGCCATCTCTGGGCTGGTGGTCCTGGGTTGTTGATGTGAGACACGACTGCTCCTGGCAGCACTGATCTACTCCTGAGAGGATGGCGGGCATCAAAGATACTCCATATGGAGTTTGTCTTTTTCTTGACAAAACTGACCTATTGGGCAAAGAACTGCCCTTGCCTCGCCTGCTGACAGTAAGCATGCTGTCCAATCCGGACAAGCAGGACACAAGGAAAAGCGGCTGCTAAACCTTGCCAAGCCAGGGTAGGACAGTCTTTCAAATTTTCCTGCTTCTGAAAATGGTCTGTCAGATATTCTAGGCCTGTAGCCAAAGTAGGATGCCCCAGTGTTGAAGAGAAACATTGGGTGACTGTTCAGGCAGTCAGCTGTTTCTGTCACTTCTTGCATTTTCGGAAGTTGCTTGCTTACACTTCCTCTTTACTCAGGTAATATTATTTTCCTTCTCAGGTCTTTGATGGGGTTGAAGACTAGATAGTTACAGTACAACCCTCCCGTATCTTAGTTAAGGGCATATTAGGTACAAGACTTAGACTCTTCAGGATAGGACAGCTGTTGGAGTAATCTCTGTAATTTGCCAATTACCTATGGTCTGGAAATTTAGAATATGTTTTTTGCTTGATGTTGTTTTTGTAGGTTGTAGTTCCCTTTTTGTTTATGTTATTACCTTTTCTTTCTTCTGGACAATACTTGATAATGTTCCTATTGTATATAGTTTTATATTAGGATTAGAACTTTTTTATTTAGAAAAAAGAAGTGTTGTGGGAATTTGTTCTATTCAGCCAATGGCTTTGGGTTAACAAGCCCTAGGGCATGATCTTGTCTGCATACATGATGGATTAAGAGCTGAGGAAGAGGGGTCACACGCTCTTGGATGATCCGAACCAGATCAAGCTGTGGAGAACGGCTTTGCAGTTGGTCTCCACTGCCCTTGGGCAGAACAGCAGCTGGGTCAGCAGTGGCATTTACTTGTTCTGTATACGTGAGTGTGATCCCCATTTTATTCCTTAATAAATAAATCTTCTTCCCAACATCCATGAATTTCTCGAATTACTGGATTCTATAAGAAAGCAGGTTGAACAAGCCATTGTGAGCAAGCCAGTAAGCAGCAGCAGCAGCAGCAGCAGCAGCAGCAGCAGCAGCAGCAGCAGCAGCACTATGGCCTCTGCATCCGCTCCTGCCTCCAGGTTCCTGCCCTCCTTGAGTTCCTATTCTGACTTCCTTCAATGATGGACAATGTGGAAGCATAAGTCAAACACACCTTTTCCTCTTCAACTTGCTTTTGGTCATGGTGTTTCATTAAAGCAATAGTAGCCCTAAGACACAGGTAGTGCCCTCATGATGGGATTAGTGTCCTTAGGAGACACCAGAGAGATGGCTCTGCCTCTGCTGTGTGAGGCCACTATGAGCCAGGGGCTGTCTGTGAGCCAGGAAAGGCTTTCACCAGAACCCAGCCATTGCCACATGCTGGTGGGCACCTGCCAGGATTCCCAGCTTCTTGTGTTCTGGAGCAGCGGCAGATGGA